AAACTTAAAGTTTCATGTCTACGCCTAGTCCGTTATAGAGCTGTCGCACACTCTTCAGGTGCTTCAAGGTAAAAGATACACAAATCTATATTTAGCAATCTGGGGGCTCACAATATTTGAGTATCATGTCTTTATATTTCATATCTTGGGTCTGTTTATATATATTTTTTTTTATTTTATATCGAGCACTGTTCTTATAGCGGCCTTATTTATTTTATTATACTTATTATATATATATATATATATATATATATATATATATATATATATATATATATATATATATATCCATTTCGTCTATTGAATGCTTTGCTATACACATCATCAGTGATGTTTCTAGCCGAGCTTCATTGGGGGTTTCGGGTCTCTCAACATCATACACCCCTCTCCTCAGTGACCCACATCGGGTATCGATTTGTGTACCTTCCGTTAGCTACCATTTTTTTTCTATCTTGCCCACCACATACATGGGACTCCTCCCGTGAATTTATAGGCCAATCCCGGATAACTTCCACTTCACCAGCAATAAATAAATAAGTGTGTGTGTGTGTGTGTGTGTGTGTGTGTGTGTGAAATGTGTAAGTCGTCTGGAATAAAAATGGATCGGCCATAAGAAAAGTAATTCAATTAACTCAAAACCATTTTTTATGATAATGACTATTATCAAATTTATAGACACTGAATTTTATTAAATTGAAATCATTTATTAAATTCACAATAAACAAACTTAGCTCCATTTTCATTGACGTTCAAATTAAATAAATAATAAGTTTGATGCAAAAATATTAGCATGTAGTCATTAAAGTATTACACCATCTTTCGGTAAAAATTGTGTATTTCTATCATAAAATAAGGAGCCTGGTTTTATCAGACACAGAATATTAGATGGAAGAGTATTTGATTATAAACAAGAAATATGTTGAAGGTGATAAGTCTGGAATATATTTCGAATGACCGGTCTGGATTTTTCATGTCGCCTCTAACATGTTGCCTCTAAGCTCTCCAGATTTGAATTCATTGGATTAACTGCTGTTTCCGTGTCGTCACCAAGAAAATAAAATCAGCAACCTTACAATGCCAGGGCTTCATTGAAGGTCACCGTCACAGATGTAACAGCCAACATAATTCTAAACTAGACATGTCGTCGCTTTCAAAGGCTAATGGTGGTTTTATTAAATAATCCTTTCCAGTGTAAACATTTTTTGAAAATATATTATTTCTTTCTATCGAATATTTTTTCTTTATATCATTTGTTCTCATTTACCTGGTGTAGCTTCTTTGAATATAAAATGATATGCATATATTTGAAAAAAAAAAATTGAATTAGTATGACAATTACGAATACCGATTTAGAATCGATGTATCCAGATAAAGTAATGGATAGCAGTTCGGTTTGAGGAATCGGAGAGCCGAGTTGGAATTTCTGTCGAATCCATTACATTCATTTACATGCTAATACCTTCTTCTCCCCTTCCCCAGCTATGGGTAAATAGCAGAACAGACCGGGTTCTATAGCCTTGGATGTCAACTGGTCTACCGCAGAAAGAAATGGCAACCTACTGCGGAAAAAAATCTGCCTCATCAGTCATGTATCGAAAGATACATGATCGCCTAAGCGTGTATCACGCATGGCACATAACTGACTGTACTCCATTTTAGTCTAGCAAACAAAATATTTTTTGAAGCACAGAGGATTAATACAACACAAGACCTCCCGAGTTACGTGCAGGCTCATAACACAGAAGCCCGACGTGCCAAAACAATTCTAATTATGAATTCAAAACCAGCGTATATGAGTTAGTATAAAACATCCACTTTACACCAGCAGAAAAGAAAAAAATATTTGCTGCCCAGTGAAATTTATAGCTGTATTTTTAACTGTTGCGCATTTGATACAAGTATCGCTAGATAAAAGGTTAATAGACTTGACAGATCTATGAATGTTGAAAGGATATAGAAAACGGTGAGGTTGTTATTGATTTGCTTCAAGGGTTTCATAGCATAGCAAGAACCCGGGCTGATCTGATTGATTTTGCCAGAAGAGAAAAACGTTGGCATGAAATCAGTAAAGATTAGAATTTCATTTTAAAGGTTTGGTAACAGCTTCCATATATCTGTATATATCATTAATGTCTCTGTCCGTCTGTCGTGGTAAAGAATACGCCGAGAATAGAATTTCCTTGCAGAGGGGTAAATCTCAACAAAAAGGGCCACCTGTTTGCTGTACCTTGTATGTGTACCTCTCTGATTTTCCTGCAAACCAGACCCTTGTATTCCTTTTTAACTCTCGTGAAAACGAAACATAAGTCTACCTTTTTGACTTTCATGCAAACCAAACATGTCTACTTTTTTGACTTTCATACAAACCAAACCTTTGTCTACCTTATTAGCTTGTATGCAAACCAAACTTATATCTAACTTTTTATCTCTCGTGTAAAACAGATCTGTATCTACTCTTTGACTTTCTTACAAAACAAACTTATATCTAGTATCTATTGTTTATGAAAACAACAGAATTCGACATTAAATAACCTAGAAAAAGTCTATATTTCACAAAACAAAACAAAACATCACTTACGACTGATTTTTTCGTTGTTCTTATTGCTGCTCTGTCATGACAATGAAATACAATGTTTCAATGCCATAAATTGGAACATAATTTATATTTTCCTACTTTTTATTTTACAATAGAAAATTTCTGTTGTTAATTACATTTTTATCTCTTGATTCCTGTATTCATTCGGTAGGGTGGGGGCATAGTGGTTATCGACACTGAAAATTAAATAGGCAAACCGAGTATTACGTGTGTTCAAACTTGTAGGAAAGGTCTCATCACTGACATGCCACGATGGTTGTCGAAGGGTTATAGGATCGATTCTGTTAGGTTTCATTGAACATCTGCAACTGTACGTTTGTATTAACGGAGTGCAGGTATTCGTACCAGTGAGAAATAAATCTATGTCCCACATCAATCAGGTGATTACAACATACTGAGACTTACCTTTTAAAGAAAATAATTACCGGGTTGATTCTAGTCAAGGTTGACAATGAGAGTGACAGATTTTTTGTCGTCACTGTCTTTTTTTAATCATTTCTTCCCCAAGTAAGATGGGAATGCCACGAGTAGGAGGCTTCAGAGAGTGAATGTGAAAGCGAAGACTGAGTATAGGGAGGATTGAGGAAATGACAGAAGATGAACAGGATTCAGATGACAATTGATGTTGCATTTTTGAAGATTGTCGCTATCAGAGAAGCAAGTAAACGAAGGGAGTTCCACGGGTGGGAAGTGCAGGAAAAGAAACTGTTGGAGTAGAAGTAGGGGTTGCATTTAGCTATTTCAACAGTGAAAAAGATGGATCTTGATGCCAATCTAATAGCACGCTTAAATTCATGTAGTCGGGGCATCTAAGGAAAATGCTCGTCAGAGCAGTTGTCATGAAAATTTTTGTAGAAAAGACAGAGGGAAGACACGTCACATCGATAAGAAAGTGACTGAAGTCGAGCTGTCAAGTCAGGATCGATTACATTACAGATCCTTCTTTGGATTTAGTCAAGAATCTCGAGATGTAAAGCAGGAGCACCAGACCAGATATGGCAACAGTATTTAATGCATGGACGAATGGTAGATTTATAAATATGCAAGATGGATTCTGACGAGAGAATTGGGGGGGGGCAAAACACAGTGAATCAACCTTCCTTGCAGCAGACATAGCGCTTGACTCGATATAGTCGATCCACTTCATGCCAAGAAAGCGTAGAGAGTTGCTCTCCTGTAGTTCAGCATCAGACATCTTGATAGTAGGCAGAATTTTTTTGGCATGACGCGATGAAGCAACCTTCCTTGCAGCAGACGTAGCAATTGACTTGATATAGTCGCTCCACTTTGTGTCAGTGGAAGACGTATGGCTAAGAAGACGTAGAATATGGCTCTCCTGGAGTTCAGCATCAACCATTCTGATGGTAGGCAAAAAATAAAATTGTAAGATAAATTCTGTCGAAAAAAATTGTCTAGCACGACACACTGAACCAACTTTCCTAGAAGCAGACCTAGCAATTGATTCAATATATGGTGTGTGTCTGTGTGTGTGGAGAATCTCGAGAGGTACAGCAGGAGCACCAGTACGAATATGGCAGCAATATTTAATGCGCAGATGAATGGTAGATTTGTAAATGTACAAGATGGATTCACACGGAAAAAAATTTCTGGCAAGACACACTGACCCAATTTTCCTTGCAGTAGATGCAACTATTGATTCGATATAGTCGGTCCACTCCAAGTCAGTGAAAAACACGAGGCCAAGAAGGCGCAGTGTATTGTAAATTCGTTCGTTATGAGAAGTTGGTCTGTCGATGCGCCCACTCACCCGCTTCGGCATTAAAAATGGTAGCAAGCCTGAGACGATATATATTCGAAGATATCTGAAAATGGAATGGGATAACGCGCGGGGAAAAATAGATACGTGCATTTTCCATGGCGTAGTAGCTCAGTATGAACGTAAACATCCTCAGCCTAAATTCGAACTCGGCACACCAAAATGATAAAAGCACCGACAAATACGAGAGCATATATGCAAAGTATCCATCTATTTGATATAAATGAAAATAAAAAAATAAAAATTAAAAAAAAAAAACAGTCAAGGTTAATGGCGCCATAGTCTTGTGTTAAATACTCCCCTTTGGACCCCTTACAATTATGTCAGAATCCCTTTCACTTTACAACTGAAACACAGGTTCCCGTACGTTCATCGAAGTTAAGCAATGCTAAGCCTGGTCAGTACATAGATGAGTGACCGCTTGGAAATATTAAGTTCTTTAAGCTTGGATGGGCAGGTGGTGTAATAGATAACAGCTCGGAATTGTTGATCGCAGTGCCGAGTTCCAATTCCTGTTGGGTTCGTTTTATTGACTTGCGCGCAAATACTCTTGGGAAAGATATGAATCCTCCTCTTCCGCCCAGCTATGGATTAATTAGTAAGAATTGTATTGTTAACCATTATTACCTAAGCCTAAAAAAAAAAAAAAAAAAAAAACGAAACAAAACAAAAAAAAAACGCTTTTTTGTTTGTTGAAAACTGCGCATCAACATGGCATATTATTGCCATGTTAATCTTTTGAGTTTATTTTTCCATGCTGGTTCAAGACATGTTGGAAGACAGCATTTGAAGATTTTACCGCAGTAGGTTGCCGACCAAGCTAGAAAACCCAGTCTTTCTTGCTATTCAACCCATAGATGGAAGGAAAAGATATGAATTCATACTTTTCCCAAGGCTTAAGAAAATATAACGAACCCAATGGGAATTGGAACCATTATTATCTCCAGCCCATCAAATTCTTATAATCTAAAAATATTTTATCTGACTTTAAATAACCTGCAAAGGGTTGATAACTTGTAAAAAAATGAAGGAATAAATCAAACACTTCCATTTCTCAAAACAAATTTTACCATGTCTCGTTACATTTTCCTTAATTTCGTCCATGGATTGAAGTATCTTCCTTTTAACGGCGATTTTAGCTTCAGGGGAAAATATAAATCGTTGTGAGTAAGTGAGTAAGTGATGCGATGCTTTACAAAAAGATAAAAACAAGGCTCAAAGACGTGAAGCGTGGGCAGGCATATTATCAGAAGTAATCCAAGGGTTACACATTACACAAGCTAACACAATAAGCTGATAAATTCACATTCAACTAACGCCAAAATTGAAATAAATTCCACAATTCAGAGAGAGAGAGAGAGAGAGAGAAAGAGAGAGAGATAGAGATAGATAGATAGAGAGAGATAGAGATAGAGAGAGATAGAGATAGAGATGTAAAAAGTGTCCTTTCACAGTGCAATGTTTATAAAGGATGCCTCGCAAAATGTTATCTGTTATAAGGTACTCTGGGTTTACCAGTTATGGCCTTGTGTTGGGGTATAAGAGAAGCAAAAAGTGAAAAACCAGCGTGAGGAGATGCTTAAAAAATATACACGAACGTCAATGTGGGTAGAGATATTGGCATAATGAATTTACACACATACAATAACTCAAACTTACAAACACATATCTACATATTTTCACTTACACACACACACACACATATATATATATATATATATATATATATATATATATATATATATATATATGAAGAAAACCAAAACCGTTGGTAGAATCAACTGACAACTTACCAAAAGACTTAAATACCCTTAAACAAGGACTGCAATAAGAAAAAACCTAAAGACCTACCTACTAAAGGCAGAGAGCAAAAAACTTTCCTTTCCTACATATATATATATATATATATATATATATATATATATATATATATATATATATGTGTGTGTATACATATTCATTTATCTGTTCACTATTTCATCTCTCTCTCGATACATACATATATATATATATAATAAATGTAATTTCATTTTTAATCTGACATATTTTTATTACTTCAATCGTTATTTTTAGTAAATGCCCGTATTTGAGTACGCGGACCGGTAAACGAAATAAATACTATTTAAAAATAAATGGAGTGTATACTTAAATACAGGTATCCAATAAAATAATGTTCGAAGTAATATATATATATTATTTCCCTTTTCAATATTTTATTTATTCCTCTCTTCAATACTTTGTTTATAGTGATGTAAGACTATCGCATATAATGACATACGTCAGTAAAAATGGCAACTAAATATGCGATAATTTATTTGAGTTTTGAGACAGTGTTTCAGTTTCAAACCTATTTATTGCTGGAATAAACAATAACCTCTTTAAAACATTTACATATTTTGAGATTTCCACCTGCAGTTTCAAATCGAGCTGAATAAAATGTCAGCTCCTAAATAAACTGATAAACTACATTATATTGACATCTCCCTCCATATTGGCATATTCTTCTGTCGTCTGCTACGAAATGTGAAGCGGAAACTACAAGAAAACGACTGGCATTTCTAAAACCAGTGGAAGACGCCGTATTTTTGCAGCTTACCACGTGACTCGATTCGTCACACAATGCAACAAGTTGCTATTAAGTAGGTTAAAGATATGGCTTCTTTATCGAAGGAGCGGAGGAATCTTCATTTAACTTGTATCAAAATTAAAGATACGCACTCTACAGGCACCCAGGTTGACATATGGTAAATAAGGTTCCTTTGAAGGACCTTTAGGAAGTAAAACTCTCAGAACACTATATAATGTATAGAGTTTCCCTGTCTATGAGTTATCCTACTATTGTGACTTTGTGTTATACTAGCTTAAGCTTAAAACATACAGGAAGGTGAGTATTGTCATGAAGCGAGAGTTAATAAGCGGATCTTATGAGATATGGTTATTTTGTTGGATTCTTATTGAACGCCCAATTACTGTGGTCTTGTGCCACACTAGAGTATGTTTACTTAATATTCATATAGATATTAAATACAGTTAGCTTAGCCCAACACTAATAAGAAATTGTTACGGCAATTTTCGTGGTGGAGAAGGATTACCCAGTCTGGAAAATGTGTGTATGGGTAAAAGAATGAAATAAAATGCTCGTACATAATGCTTAATTAGCAATCAAGTGTAATGGTTGATTGTGTTAAATGTTTCGATATTCATTTACATCATCATCGGGGCATTTTGAATGTGATCTCTGTCTAATTACAGGATTAAGTACACTCAAATTACAAAAGTAATCAGAAAATTAATTGCAAATATGATTATTGACTGCGTTTTACAACACCTGGGTTTTGTTGATTGTTTTTCTTTTTGTCTTCAATTTTGAACCTTTGTTTTTTTTTAATTCTGACCTTTATTTATGCGTCATAATCCTATTTATTTTTGTGGTGTAACCTTTATTCCGCTTAATTATATGAAATATTAGTTTTGAAAGTATGTATGTCTACTAATAGATATACAAAATAACTTAAGTTCATAGCGTTTTGAGAATGACATGATTAAGCATTTAAATATTTAAAATATCCTTCAATTATTTATAAAATCTTATATTAATTACACACAAACGTGTATTTCGAGATCATTTTCATCTTTTGTAGCTTAAATGCAAACATTTTTTAAAGTATCCACGATGCAAGATAAATATAATTCCCTACATAGACATTTGTAACATAAATCTTATGACAAATGATAGAACACTTATATACTAATGGAACCCAATTTGACAATAAAAAATATGGAGTGTCATTTTCAAGCACTCACACATTTATATGAACAGAGAATCATACAAACAATATATATATATATATATATATATATATATACACACACAGACACACACACACCCACATATATATATATATATATATATATCAGTTTGTAGAGGGGAGGAAATGCATGTAATGTTCGTATTATATTACTGAATATATCAGGTATTTAAAAACTTGTTTATTGTATATCGTTATATACCATACCTATGAACACTAATGGGTATGTGCTAGTCCTCCTAAATACGTTGGACACTATTGTAAGTGGGGGTAATATGCTATCAAAGTAGTCCAGCACGAGCAGTTGCTTACCTACTTCACGCCGTTGGCGAGTACTGTATTTTGTTGATTTTTTGGTTATTCCTCATTCAGTAACCCTGCCTAGGTTACAGTTATATATATATATATATATATATATATATATATATATATATATATATATATATGACATTGAAGTCAATAACCAGTTTCATGCAATCGTTAGTATGTATGTATGTATTCCACGTAATGTCCGTATTATATTACTGAATATATCCGATATTTAAACATTTGTTTATAGTATGTATATCTATCCATCTATCTATCTCCTCTCTCTCTATATATATTCAGTAATAATAATAATAATAATATATATATATATATATATATATATATATATATATATATATATATATATATATATATATATATATATATATATATATATATGTGTGTGTGTGTGTGTGTGTGTGTATTTAGATATTCATTCATATAATAAGAAACTGACATGAAAAAAATTGAAATTAGTCTCGTCGTTATCGGTTGCCTGTCTCTTTCATTACATTCGACTCATAGAAAGACGCTCAAATGTTAAAAAAGTGCTGTACTTTTTAACTGCCATATGTTTTGAGATATTCTAATAGGTATTTGTATATTTTACTTTAATTTTAAATTGCTTCTTTTTCTCTTGGGTAAAAATAAAATGACGCGGTTGTTATACGGTTTAATTGGCCATTGGTCCAATCGGGATAAGTACATAGATTTTTACAAAGCTTGGCACAAGGGTGCAAGAATGAGGATTTAACTCAATGCACAATGATAAGGGACCTGTTAGCCATTACTCCATCTCGAAGCACACACGCACATACATACACACGTGTATTTCGTGTGTTTCGACGTGGAGTAATATATATTTATATATGTGTTTGTGTGTTTGAGTGATTGAGTGAGTGAGCGAGTAAGAGAGAGAGAGAGAGAGACTTGGTTTGAAGATCGCATTGAAGCGTGTTTGTGGGTGGTGTAATGGATAGAGGCACTGAGTGCGTAATCGGAAAGCCGAGTTCGAATTCCAGTCGGTTTCGTTACAGTCACTTAAACGCAAATAACCATAGGAAAGATATGAGTCATCTCTTCCCAGCTATGAGTTAAATAATAAAACTTATCTCTAGAAAAATCATTGTTATTCTAAAAAAAGAATTGTAATATTAACTCGCAGAGACACAATTATTATTACAATACAAAATACATTTCAGTTTGAGATAACCCACAAAGTATTGATAAGCCGTAAAAAATCCAGTCAGTCGACAATCGCATTGAAGCATGAAACTGACTGTCACTATACAATGTTGATTGCTATGACAACACTGTCATATCTGCAAACACTCTATACACGATATTGATTACTCTTCCACTAAATGACATCAAATTTCAATTTTTATATATAAGTTTGATGATGGCAAAAGCGTGAAACCCAGGGTCACAAACTCATATCCACACAACTTATTATGTGAGCTCTATCACTGATACTAAACGCTTTTCATTAAGTACCATATATTATATATATATATATATATATATATATATATATATATATATATATATATATATATATATATATTTGTTTTTAGATATACTTTCATTCCAATAAAACATATATATATATATATCTATGAATGAATGTATTGTTAATCCCACTTATCGAACATTATACAGTGAAAGTTTTAGATCAAAATTCATCTAAATATTACCTATCAAGAGTAATACCGTATATATATATATATATATATATATATATATATATATATATATATATATATATATATATATATATATATATTGGAATCAATGTATAATATCTAAAATAAAAAAAATTGATTGTTGGACATGAGTACTAATCTGCAGTAGATTTGATGGAGCTTCAGCATAAAAATCCCAGCAGTTACAAGCAACAGTTCACATGAATGCATGTACCCAGTGACTGTTCAATGTAAATCCAACACAAAGAAAAACATATGGCAGTCAGCGTTGGTGTAACCATTGTAACAAAATAGAATTCCAACTGACAAGAGATCGCTAAGCGGCATTATATTTTCTCATAATGTTGTGTTCAAAATCGCAGTTGAAACCGTCGAAGACTGATTTTTGAAGGCTTTTTTCACTTGGAATATTCGTACAACATTGTCTCCACGCAACTTACAGACAATTAGCAGGTACACAAATAAATTCCAACATAACCACATGGTTTTTACATATAATATGTCGTAAAGTCAGTAAGAATGGGTGTGTTTCTCAAGGTCATTTCTACAAATGAATATCAGTGGCACACCTAAAAGATTGAAACAGGTAGTAGATTCTAGAGATGGATCTTTTTAGAAAACCCTTAGATATTACTAAAACTTATTGCTGAATAGTATTGATTATGATCTCTCTCTCCTCTCTCTCTCATATATATATATATATATATATATATATATATATATATATATATATATATATATATGTATGTATGTG